CTTTCTTGTTAAGGTAAACGAACTAACTACTACTCTCCTCCTCTCTACTATATATATATATATATATATATATATATATATATGGTTTATATGGAAGCCACTGCGCAATGTTTATGGGTAAAAATGAACTGTATTTTTGCCCATAGGCTCGGTGCCATCTGATTTTTTTGGATGGCGAGGATTAGAGACCGCCATAGACCTAGTATGTCTGTGGCAATCAAAAAACACGTAGAATTGCCACGGACCACACATCGTCTGTTGTAAATTCGTTCAATAAACCGCCACAGACATGTGGCGTAAAATACTATTCATTTTCGCCTATAAGCGTTTTTTAAAACTTTTCCTCTATATATATATATATATATATATATAACACTAGAGAGAGAACACACTTTCTCCACCCACATGCATAGACATAAGACACAAATCACCAATTCTTCTATGGAAAATCTTAGCTTCAAATGAGACCCTATGGCATAAGAAAATATACTCATTCTGCTCTCTCTCTCTCTCAAGTCACTATCCTCTTCCATTTCTACAACCTAATGTATCTGCTTAGTTAAATGAATAGATAAATCACATTGTGCTAAGATGGTGGACCCTGAGCATATTCAATTTAGTGTATAATTTGGACCTCGTGAGAGTAAAACTCTAATAGCTAGTTGTGCCACCCACCACCTTGATTGCCATTGCCTACAGCCCGTTTCTTGACCGCAGATGTACTTTTATATTCTAATTTATGTGCTTAGTCTGCGTTTTGGAAGAGTTCAAAAGCATTATAAGTATTGGTAGAGAGCTCATAATCTATTAGACACATGCGGTGCACATTTTTCTAGAGAACATGGAAATATTTATGCGCCCATGTACAGTCAAATTTTAATCTCAAATTTTAATAAATTGACTAAACATGGAAGGCTAGAAGTTAGCTATGCAGCATCACCACAACAACGACCATCATCATCATTCGAGCTTTATCCCAACTATTTGGGTCAGCTAGTTGCTAGCATCACTACGACGACCACTTGAATGTAAATCATCGAACTTAAGACCAAAATTTTATTGTCCTAAGCATTGTTTTGGTAACTGAGAAAACAGAAAAGAACACCCTGTTTTTTGAGTTGCCAGTGCTTTACCCAGTTTGGGAAAGGGTAAAATCTCGAAACATGGAGAATTATGGTACTCCACATTTTGATGTTTTTCCCTGGTTTTTTAAGAAAATTTCAGCCCACCCCATGGGTGTACACAGAACCCCTCTCCCCCACTTTTATTTCTATGTGACCGGCCTCTCTCTCTCTCTCTCTCTCTTTCTTTTGTTGCTCTCTTTCTTCATGCCCTAGCCCGCTCATGTCGTCAGTTTTTAATTGTTTTCAATTTTCATCTCAAAGCTATATAATTTTTCATGATATCAGAAAATATGCTATGTTTTTACAGATAGTATCAGAAAATAGTCCTTCATAAGTGCAGAGTAGAAAAAAATTGTATTCAAACAACCTTCTTAAGGCATATGCAGAATATTCACTTTGGATTTAGATCTAGTCTGAGCTTCGTATTCTCGCATCCCTTCGTTGTGTTGCATAGATGTCTAAACTATTGATTCTTGCTACGCCATATATTGCTCTTTTGACTTTCTATTTTTCTATTTTCATTTTTCTATTTTTAGATTGGTAACTATTTTGTGATTTATCTGCAATATAATGCCTATTTGCTTGAATTGTATATAAAGGAGGTCAGTTCACTAGAATCCCAAGTTTCGTATTGAAACAATCTTTAAATCAATGTTGTTGTAATTGATCTCGGGATCTTGCCATTAAAATTTGGAAATGTATACAATGAGACTATTCATTTTTAATAGAAGAAGGTCGCAATCATCATTAACCGTTAGATTTAAAATCGAGTGGTTGAAGCTACGTCACTGTTACGATATAAAATCCAAAACAAAATTTCTCAAATATTAGATTAGGCATACGCACCACAATACTAACCCCAAACTACTTATTTTTGCAGCTACCTTCCAAATCAAAAAGTGATATATTTTAAAACAAAAGTATCCCCTTATAAGAAACATTTCTCTCATCCGCTCAATTATTTAAAGGGTGAGGTTTGTATAAAGTGCCCATTTTGTACTCGAAGTACACCAGACTTTTGTTGGAAAGCTTAGTTCCAATGTCAACGATGGCTTGCAAATCCATGTTTAACTTTAATTATGAAATTTCAATCAGCCACAAAGAAGTTACAATAATAGTTTTGGCTGTGAAGGTCCAATACACATGTTAGGCATATGAAATATCAGCATAAAGTCAGAGCGGCAAAGCATACTTCAAACTCACACCCACCAAAATCAGGTGATAGACAAAACACCATTAATTTTAAATTTTTAATAGCATGAGCCAAAAGCCTTCCACTTCACTAAAACTACTCAACTATCCCTTGCAAAGCCCTTTTTTTTCCGTTTGGGTAATCGATAACTACCTCTGGCAAACTCTGTAATTCAACTGAGTGGTGTGCACAATGCTCGGAATGAAATGATAGAATGAAGCAACACAAGAATCAACACCTTCATGATTTCACAAGTATATCATAGACTTCATTTTCATGTACAGTCATAACAAATCAAGTAAAACAAAGGTCGAACACTATACGTAAGGAATTCTTTGAATGATCAAGTATCTTGTTAACTTTCAAGGGCATGCATATACATCTTACACAGGAGATGTAATGTTTCATTGGCATGCTGAGGCGGTGGCCCATTACTTGCATCTAATGCAACTCATCCAAGCATTTCTTGTGGGTGTGCTATAAAACATCTCCAACATCATGGCACGTAACTCTTTTCCTCCCCTTCAATTACAAAACCTCAACTTTTTAAGCAAAATGGCCAGAGACACAGTAAAGACGCCTGTCCACCAAATTGCTCAATAGTCATCTAAAACAGATTTTCATGGCATCACAATAATAATAACAAATGGTATCGATACTAATTCATAGCGGAACAATGTCAAGGAAATAGGGGTTTAGCTCCGAGGTATAATTACCTCTGACCATATCATAAGCTTGATTATAAACTGGGGGTGGGATAATGGTCTTCGAATATGCCTCTTATGTTTGCACATCACTTCTTCCTTTGGGCTGCCTGTTTAACAAATAGATGAAAGCATCATGAACATCGTGAGCCCAACGCAGTAAAAGTACAACTAATTATGGTCGATAACATGTGAAAAATTTAGCAAGAATAATAATAAAGTAACTCCATATGAGAAAACCTAGCACAACTCCCAAATAAGGAAAATATGTACACAGAGATGCATTTATTTTCAGTGCTAGCTGCATGCGCACTTAATCAAAGCAATTCTAAACGACAAAAATCATCATCATCACCACCATTAAAGCTTTTTCCAACTATTTGGGAACGGGTATACGAATCCTGGTCCACCATTCTGCTCTCTCAAGGGCTATATCTTTAGTGAGGGCACAAGTCCCACTATAATTTCTCACTACTTCCAATCATATCTTTTTTAATCTGACCCCTTTCCCTTTTTAAGCCTTCCACTTGAACCAACTCGCTTCTCCTAACAAGTGTTATATTGACCAGCCCACCTAAATCTACTCTCTCATCTCATCACTTATTGGAGCCACATCTAAATTCTCCCGAATGTATTCATTTCAAATTCTATCCGTTCTTGTTTTGCCACTCATCTATCTCAAGATCCTATTTCTAAAGTACAACTACGGAGGACAAATTATAGTATAGAATACCAAGACTTGGCAGATTTTCTTAAAAAGAAAAATTATACCCCCACCCCCCCCTAATATTTCAACTTTCTACAAATCTTACCCCCCAATACTTTTGTATTATACTCTAAACCCCAACACTATACTTCCTTCGTATTTACCCCACCCCCCCCCCCCCCACTCCTTCCCCACCCCCAACACCCCCCAATCAAATAGTCAAAGCATTTTGAGACCAAAATACCATTTTTCCTTCCCTTACCCTTTTTTCTCTGTCGTTTTAGACACGTGACCGTCTCTTACTTTCTCTCTACCTCTCTCCACCCATCCTCTCTCTACTCATTTCTCTCTCTCTACCTTCCCTCACTTGCTCTCTATCTCTCTCTACCCTCCCTCATTCTTTCTCTCTCTACCACTCACATGCCCATAATGCCGTCCGGCACGTTTTTGTGCCGAACCAAAAAAATATTTGCGGTCCAGCACAAAACGTGTCGTACCGCAAAAAAAAATTCGGTTCAACACAAAAATGTGCCGGACTGCATTGGATTCCAGTAACTTTCAAATACCCATAATGCAGTCCGGCACACCCTTATGCTGGACCGCATTATGGGTACGTGAGTAGTAGAGAGAGAAAGAATGAGGGAGGGTAGAGAGAGAAAAAGAGTGAGGGAGGGTAGAGAGAAAGATAGAGAGAAACAGTGAGGGAAGGTAGAGAGAGAAAGAATGAGGGAGGATAGAGAGAGAAAGAGTGAGGGAGGTTAGAGAGAGAAAGAAAAATGGAGAGAGAAACGGGTGGAAAGAGAAGAGAAATAGAGAGAGAAACGGGTGGAGAGAGAAAGAGAAATGGAGAGAGAAACGGGTGGAGAGAAAGAGAAATGGAGAGAGAAACGGGTGGAGAGAGAAAGAGAGTTTGAGAGAGAAATATAAAAAAATAAGTTGAAAAAGAAAAAAAAGAGAAAAAAAAGGGGCATTTTGGTTTCAAAATGCTTTGACTATTTGATTGGGGGGTAAATACAAGGAAAAATAGTGTTGGGGTTTAGGGTATAGCAGAAAAAATATTGGGGGTAGGATGTGTAGAAAGTTGAAATTGGGGGAGGGGGGGTATCTATAATTTCCCCTTTATAAAAATGCAACAAAAAAACCGCAAAGCCCACTGAAAAGTAAAAACCATTAACATATATAAGAATAAATAACATAAGGCCTGTCACCCTTAATCAATCACTATGGATGCAATCTAATTTATCATGTTCAGAAGTTAAAACCCCAACATTCCATTTTGAGTTTTACCACTCATTTATTTATGGATTCTTTGAATTCTTCCCTTTGTTTTCTCTTTCACGTCCTTTTCTCAAAGTAGCTAACTTCACTCATCAAAAAAGGATTGTAATTTCAATAAATTCTAGCATTCCAAATGTAGCCACTCCAGCACAATCTAGAAACTCCCAAAAAGATTTAACATCCACCTTCATAACAAGTAGATTGCCTGTATAAAGTGCTCAGTATAAAATACTAGCGAGCAGTGACTTCTTATTTTTGTAAACAATAAACAAACTATGATATACAATTTAGTATAGACGCATCTAACATGGGCGGATAACACCTAAGACTTGAACCCTTCCTAATTAAACCTACTGTCACAAGGTTATACACCTTCCTAATTAGTTATGGACGACTTAATTAGGCACCTACAAGATGAGGTACCATGGTGGCATGTTGTTCGCAGATGACATAGTGGTGATCTATGAGATATGAAACGACATCAACACAAAGTTAGAACTTTGGAAGGATGCTCTAGAATTTAAAGGTTTTAAAATTAGCAAGACTAAGACATAGTATATGGAATGCAAGTTTAGTAATAACAGGAGTAGAGATGAGGAAATAGTTAAGATTGATGGCTAGGGAATACTAAAAAGAGCGCACTTTCGATATCTTGGGATGATAATCCAGGAAAAATGAGAAATTGAAAAAGATGTCGCACATGGAATTAGAGCTGGGTGGACGAAGTGGAGATGTGCAACCGGAATTTTATGTGATCGCTGCATACCAATGAACCTGAAGGGCAAATTCTATAAGACAATTGTGAGACCAGCTTTGTTCTATGGGGCGGAATGTTGGGCGGACAAAAAACAATATGCTCTATAAAATGAGTGTAGCGGATATGAGGATATTGAGATGGATGGGTGGCAAGACAAGAAGGTATAGAATTTGAAAGGAATATATTTGGGAAAATTTAGGTGCGGCACCAATAGGCGATAAAATGAGAGAGAGTAGATTTAGGTTGGCTGGCCATGTGTGGTGCAAATCCAGTACAACACCTGCTAGAAGGTGCGAGTTAGTTCAAGTGGAAGGATCAAAACGAACAAAGGGGTAGATCCCAAACGACATAGTTGGAAGTAGTGAGAAATATATGGGAACTTATGGCCTCACTGAGGGTTTGGCCTTTAATAGAGCAGAATTACTAACCAGGATTCATGTTGCCGACTCCAATTAGTTGGGAAAAGGCTTTGACGATCATGATGATGATCTAAAAACAAAACACAATATACAATTCAATACATAAGCATCCAACATGGTGTGGAAATCACCCAAGACCTGAACAAGACCTGAATCCTTCCTAATTATACCTACCTTCACAAGATTAGACACCATTAAGGAATGAGATGATTGAAGCTCCCTTGCAATTCTGCTCTGAGGCAGAGGAAAAAATGAGAGACAACTAGAAAGACGAAAAAGATGCATAGTAAGAAGCATATATAACATAAATATTGTTAAGATAAAAATAAGTTTAAACAAAAGATCTTGGAAAAAAAGCTTGGATTAAAATAAGTTCAAACAGAAGATCCTGGAAAAAGAGCTCATACATCCTTGCTTCATTATGTCTGGAAATCAATGGTTGGGAATTCATCTTGTAACCCCGACTCCAACTGGGACGCTAGAGGAATCGCAAAGAGTTATTTGTTTTTCAAAAAGTACTCTCTCCAAGGAGAAATAAGACCTTTAAATTCTAAGATAGCTCTAATTCCATGAGTCGTCATTATCATCATCATCATCCGAACCTTATCCCTACTATTTGGGGTCAACTACAAAAATCATGTGTTGTTATTCCACTCTATCAAGGGTTATTCCCTCAGTCAGACTATAGGTCACCATATATTTTCTTACTACTTCTATCCATGTCTTTTGGGGCCTTTCCCCTTGCCCTTTTAAAGCCTTTTGCTTGAACCAAATCATCCCTCCTAATTGGTGTTGTTTTAGACCGACATTGCACTTACCAGACCACCTACTTCTACTTTCCTTCATTTTATAGCCTATTGGAGCTACCCCCTAAGTTTCCTCAAATTTATTCATTTCGAATTCTATCATTCCTTGTCTTGCCACTCATCCATCTCAACATCCTCATCTCAGCTATAACCATTCTATAGATATGTTGTTTCTCAACTGCACAACATTCTGTACCATAAAGCAAGGCTAGTCTTACAGCCATCCGATAGAACTCCCCCTTCAAATTCTCTAATTCCATGAGTAAGTTGTGAAAAAATACTCAAAAAAATTAATGAAATACTATTTTCTTATTTCTTATGCATAGTTTAACAGCCATCCTATAGAACTTTCCCTTTAATTTCTCTGATTCCATGAGCAAGTTGTGATAAAATACTCAAAAAAATTAATGAGATAGTATTTTCTTATTTATTTATATATAAATGTCACTGTATACATACATACAACCAAAGAAACATACAAAAATACAACATACAGAGAATTACAGAACTACCCCACAACATGCACATAACTACTTTTGGCTCGTACAAGACCTTGTAAAATATTTCCCTCGTAATAGAAAGAAAATTGCCAAATATACTGTTTTGAAACGAGAAGATTTATAGTCTCCGAGATGAGGGGAAAATCGAGTGGTGATCTTATGGGTGCTTCAGGCAAAATGGAGTTATGGTCCTATGGGTGCTTCGATACCCCCTAAAAGCAAGTTTTAATGAAGTTGAACTGCAACATAACCAAGATGCCACTTCATTTAATAACATCAGAATTGGGGTGAGCCACTCAATCCAAACCCCTAACCTCGATCACCATTCTCCACCTCCACCCCCACCTCAACCCCATCTCCCTTGAGCATCCACCAAGACCTTCCTCCACCACTAATACCATATCCCTGCCATCATCAATTCCTCCAAACCCTCTCTCAAACAAGCTATCCTCTTTCCACATCCTACCTGAGAATATAGAGTCGTGCATCATTAAGGAAGAACAGGCCTTAGATGCCACGCTTGTCATCAACATAGAGCATCGAAATAATTTTTTCAGTGGTGTAGAAGCTGAATACAACCTGCTGGGCTTCCCAAATATCTCTTACCAAGAGTCATAAAATATTAATGGGAAACTCAAATATCTCTTACCCAGAGTCAAAATATTAATGGGAAACTCATGGTAAGCCTTGAAAAGGAAGACGTATGCACAGCAAAACAAAAATACAAACCAAGTTTCATTGGATACTTTTTGGGCTTCAAACCCTAATGGCACTATGCCACTCAAAGCATTGGATCTATTTGGTTACCCAGAAGGAGATTACATATCAGGCGAATGGGCAAGGATCGCATCCTGTTCTGGTTTGAACATAAGGAAGATTTAATTGAAGTCCTTGAGGAAAGACCCTGGTGCATAGATTGCCAATGCATACATTAAGAGAGATGGAATGGTACAAAATTACCAGAAATATCAGCCCTTAGCACCATCCCAGAACGGATTCATTTACCTCATTATTATTTGAGGATTTCATCCCGAGGTCAAGTTGCAGCAGAGAAGCCCTTCCCCATGATATTTCAACAAAGGACCCCAGACAGTTGGAATACTCTCGAGTAAGCATGGAGGATAAAAATCCACTTCAGAGATCCCTAATAGCTAATAGACAACTTAAGAGATGGTGGTTGGTTAATGCTTCGGCCATCAAATGCAAGTTCATTTTGGAACCATGTGCTAACTGTACTTGATTAGGCCATATTGCCAACAATATGGGCTGGAGAACAAGCATTAATCCAAGCAAAGTATGGCTGTTGTTAAACAACAGCTGGAGGTTCGTAGGCAGGAATGGAGAGTGGTTGAGAGAAAAGGTAAAGCAAAACTGAGCTAGCAAAACATTTGCGCACAGCAGAAATTATTTCAGGTTCAAGATATGAATATCTAGTAGGCCTTCAAGAAAGGTGTGAATCAAAGGATCTGCAGAACAGGGACAGTGATCCAATAGAGAACATTCAGATGCTGAAACTGACGAAAGTGACAAGAAATATCAGGCAAACAATCTCCAAAATGGCCTCTCCCTGAAAAAGAAAAAAAGTGGCAGAAAACCAGCAAGAATCAGAGATTTCAGCAATGAAAACAGGGCCAGAACAATACAGCAGGTTTTCCAGCCAAGATGAGAATATTCCGGCTGGATTGGGTTCACGTTTCAGTCATCCTCGACACCAACCATGCTCAGATCCAGATCTGAACTCATGATTGGACCATTTAAGCTCATGATATGAGCTTAAAGAGGAGGCCCAATCACCATTACCCCACCAAAATATCACTGCAGGCCTGTGCAAACCACTTCCGGGCTCCAAAACCCCAAAAATTCTTTTCTTTTCATTTTTTTTCTTCTCTTTATCTTTTTTCAATCTATCCAAATATTCTCTAATCTCCTTTTTTATATCATCTATAGCTTGTGGGCATGCTCTTACATTCCCATAAATTCCAGCTAAGTGCTCTTTTTGTTGAAAAATACCACCCATATAAGTATTTCCACAGAGTAAGCATATCACACAATTTCTATCTTTCGGATTTTTTAGTTTAGCATATTTCCAAGCCGGATCTTTATTACTAGAAGATTGGGAAGAAGACATTGACCCAAAAATAAGTATTACAGTATTACTGTACAAAAAGGAATAAAAAGTTACCGACTCTGTGAAGCAGTGCTCGATTTCTTTACGGCCTCTAAAACCCCAATTTCTTATCACAAATTCACCCTAACATCCCCAAGTTAACAATCAAAAGCATCAAATCAACAGCCAAGTATCAAACGACCGCCAAATCGAAGATTTGAATGAAAAATAAATTTCCGCCAAATTTTTCTTCCCTTGATTTGATGCAAAAAAGCCATGGCTGGAAATCACCGTTTAGGGGGTTTAATACCCCCCAAACAGTTTCCCCCATTTTTGGATGGTCAAAAAGACCATTTTGCCCCTCCCGAGGGGCAAAATTGAAAAAAAATTCGGCAGAAGGGGATGCGATGCGATGCGGTGTGATGCGGGATGCGGCTACGATGCGGCGCATATGCGGCCACATAGATCAAAAGCGCATTTGCAGTCAGTTCTGATGCAGAGCCATATGCGGACGCATTTTAAAACCATGTTGCAAAACAAGACCTACATGCCCGACAAAGTCCATGATGCAGTACTTGAACGGTACATTACACAAAGGAGATAATAAGAACAAGCAGAGGAGAATGACAATACACAGGATGATATAGCAACATAGCAGTATAGCATGAAAGAAGTGAGAGCTTATATATGCCATCAGGATAAACAAGGAGATACAGGCATTCCACTAAAGAAGAAATATCGAGCTCCACACATAGTATGGCAAATGTACATTTAGCACAATGTGTAACAAAATTCAATGTATCACACCAACAGGAAAATGAACATGCTTCAAATGTATGCTACTAGCACAGAAATAGCAAAGTATACTTGGAAAGCAATGGATGGCGGAAATGGCAGCAAAACATGGATGAAGAATTGAAGTAAAGTTTGGCAGCAAAGAAGTGAAATGAAAATCAGTAGCACGTCATAGAAACTTGAACTCTTTAATTCATACTCACAGCTGGACTATAAACAACAGATTTCATAGACTCGGGCCTAATGTACATTCTGTTTTTTCTCTTCAGATTAATACAAGGGGGAGGTTTCCCATGCAAACCCTGGCTGTATGGCGAAAAAGATAATAATGAGGGACCCTATTACTGTTGGGGTCAGATCAAGTTGAATTCTAATATGAATTTGAAGTTATTACTTATCAAAAAGAAGAGGAGTACCCTTCATACAGGGGTCAATAGACTAATTGAGGAGTACAAGAAAGTTTGTGTAGTTCAATTTGCGAATTGGGAGTTAGCACCAAGATTTTAGCACTAAAAGGTAACCAACCACCACCTAAACAAGCATTCTCATTAATACTATCATTGATACTATCACTACTTAGCATGTCATTTAAGTAAACAAATGCCAAAGAACTATATACGTTCACAAACATTGGGAACAAGTGGCAATGTTCTATGCACAAAATCAACAAAGAAATAGAGGGTGGCAACAAAAAGACAGGATAAACGTTGTCAAAATATGCGTCCAAAATTTATTAGGTCAGATGGTTCTAGGATTCTATTTTCCAATAGCCATAAGAGTTCTTCGGCCCCAAAGTCTTCATTCTTTGCTATAAATTGTCTCTACCACAGAAACAGGCAAAATGACAAACCACAATAGCATGCATATCGCACAAAGAAAATATGAAAAACAAATTTAATAAAATTTTCTGAACCAAATGCTTTGCATTGATATGAGCAATGATTTACATTGTAAACAGCTATAAGTTTATATTGCAACATTCCATACCTTCTGCAGCTTCTGGAGAATTGAATCTTCATATGCGTGATACCCAGCTCCAACAATGTTATGGAGTTCTGGATGATTGTCAGGCGCAACTTGTTTGCTCTGGAAAGTGTCAGACGAGCTAGTTGCAGTAGGACAAAGAGGAAGCACAAGTAAAGGGTTTGAGAGATCCCCACACGCACTTCGTGTTGCAGCAATCTGGAAATTGGAATAACTCTGATCAGTTAAGTTTGCCAGCATAATAAGGAGCTCAATCAGAAAAGCTTGGCACATTACCAAATAGAGATTCTTTAATAAAGATGTAAGTGCAAGTAAACAAACAAACAAGTCAATGATGCAAACAGGCTACAACTACCGCCCTATAATAGAGAAGACGTAATGTAAAACTTAGAAGCACAGTTAGTAAAACTCCGTTTAAAACCTCGGGTTTTGGAAAACACTCCAATTGATTAAAAAATGTATTAAAGGTATGATCTTCAAAACTACTTGAAAAAAAAAAGACTTTCATTTTTTAAGAAAAAGGAGTTTGAATGTACCATATGATTTTAAGAAGAAGCTTATCAGAAGAAACTCTAAAATTTTACCTTGAATAATCCTTCTCCACTTATTTTGCTAGTCGGTCATGGGTCAGTTGACTTATTGACCAACAAAGTATGTGATCAAAAGTCACAATTATGGAATTGTTAAGTCCATAATTCTAGTCTAAGGTGTTGCAAAAGCCTTCAAAAGAACTTCAACACTTCTAAGTGTCTCCAGGGTTATCAATGGATCTTAGGAGTGGGACGATGCCCTAGAAATGGTGTCAAAATAAATGCAGACCACTAATACATCAAAATTTCTTCCGAATGCCCATGAGGTGAGTGCATCCCTGATAATTTCTTCGTGTGCATGTTATGGTCTCCAATTTCCATCAAAGGCATGATCTCCCTCTACTTTCAGGTCATCCAAATGATTGCAAGAGAGCGAATTTTCCAAAAGGTCAGCTTAGAAGCAAACATTAAAGATCCAATATTCTAGAAGAATTGTCGGCAGCTAGCATAAAGCTCATTCATGCTGAACAAGGTAAGAATAGAACTACAAGGTAATTCTTGCAAACCTATCTATAAATGATAGTTAATTGTCGATCTATCATCCATACATGACACAAAAATATAGGATTATAGTTAAGATGATCCAGAGCAAGAACCTTCTCTGGGGTATCAACCAGCCAAACAGCAGAGCCAGCATATGCCTGAACCAAGCTGAGCCAAACACAGCTAATGACACTCAAAAGCGCACGATAAAGGGACTAGAATGAGAAAATTCTAGACTATCCAAACCCAAATCCCCATATACATAACCTCGGAATGAAAGGACCTCTAAAGTCAAACCTGCCCAGCAAAAGATAGAAATCATTGAACACCAGTGTTAGAGAATTTGGCCACCAGGCAGCCAGGGCAGGGCAGGAAGCAAACAGACCTAGGCGCCCACTTGTCCTAGATGGCCTCAATGCACTCAGTGGGGGGGGACTTTTAAGCACTCAGCCAAGGAAAAAAAAGTCATTTGTACCCCTTTAAAAGGGGGGGGGGGGGGGGGGCATTCAACCCCATAGTTACCTAGGGCAGGAGCAAAAAAAGCTCTAGCATAGGGAGCGAAAGCACGGAACAAGGAAGCTCAAAGTTCTGTGGTCGAGGGAACTAGTTCCGTATATGGCCAAATGTATGGATCGCGATCCCCAATTTTAGGGGTCATTAAGGGATCGAGAGCCATATATGCAAGGGAGTGGGAGTGGATCCCTTAGAGCATGGGATCGTGTTCCGCTGTGTTAGGATCAAGGTTCCCGAAGTTCAATTATCCATTGTATTGTAATCTGGGAGCAAGTTCCATTTAACAATATTTTTAACTTTTCCAAATTGACAAACTCAAGTATCAAAGTAAACAAGAATCATGTCATTGAAAATCTCTTGGACTTTTTATTATCCGTAGAGTAAGATTTCACAAATGAGTAGTGATACTTAAAAGCCAATATGGTGATGTAATACCTAATAAGTCTTTCGGCAAAAATGGAGCCTTGTATCCTCAATGATCTCTCTCTTTCTCTCTCCCTCTAGCTCTCTCGTCAACTGGTGAAGAGATACATTCATTGGGAAATTTTTTGGACTCTTATTTTCTTCAATCTCCTAAGGGAACATTGTAGTCTATCTCCAATTAACATTGTCAAGAATATTTATCGTACTTTTCATAACCTCATTCCTCAATAGAACCGCAACATGACTACCCTTTGTATCTCATCCCAACTTCTTTCTTCTCTCTCCTTCCCCTCTCTTGTTGCCTTTCTTTGAAACTTGACACAAGTCACAAGTCACAACTCACAAGGTCTGTAAAGCTGTGAATTGTAAATATACAGGAAATCATGGTATTTTGAAAGTTTGTAGGTCATAGAGAAATGAAGATCTATACTCCATTGTATATGAACCCAAAAATATGACGCCGAAACTTAGACATAAAGCATAAGATACTCGATTCTATGTTGGTGGAATCACGGTTCTGCTTACTCATGAAATGATGATTTTTTATATAGGGATCTGGGTCCCATTAACATAGGATCAAGATCCTTAATATCAAGGAATAACCCGGAATCGAGATCCATGTTTCAGAGCGCCAGAACGAGATCGAACAAAGGAAGCAAACCCTCCTTAGAAGATCCTGGTAACTATGTTCCACCCCACCAAAACCAGTTTAGAGCCTTTTAGAGAGAGAGAAAAACAAATTGATTTTTTGGAATATTCTCGGGATTGAAAAAAAATCCATACTTTTTGATTTCTTACAAAATCAAAAAGTAATCAATTCGATACTATTTTAGCTTCAAGTGGTTGCAAAAGACACCATTTGTTTTCGATTTCTTACAAAATCAAAAAGTAAGCAATTCGATACTATTTTAGCTTCAAGTGGTTGCAAAAGACACCTTTTGGCAACCAAAGGTCATAGATTCGAGCCAAGACCGATTGGATTTTGAAATATTAGTATATTAGCAGATTTGGATTAGGGTTTGGTGAAACTTGTGTACCATGGGTTTGATATATTCTTCTTTCCTTTTTGGTTTTTGTTTTTTCTGCTTTTTTCTCAAGTTTGGCTTTAAGAGTAGGTGTTGGTTTGAGTTTATTGATACTTTGTTTATATTGGGTAAACCAATCTCAATAAAAAGTCATTGCTCAAAAAAATGGATTTTTAAATTTTTTTACTCATTAAATTGTCCAAAGAGTGAAAAATGGCAATAAAATGATTTTTTCCACTCTATTACCCCTTTCAGTAATTGAGTGGTTGCTTTCTAAAATTTGATGTGGTATTAGCTAACTTTCTTACATTTTTGGCTGATTACATTTTTTTTGTTTTGTGATTTTTTATAGTAATGATTTTATAGATTATTAAATATTTATCTACTTTGGGTTACTTTATTGATTCTTTACTTAGGTTTGATCGGTTGCATCTTAGACTAGATGCTTGATTTTTGTGAATTGCTAAATAGTGTATTCTTTGAGTTGTTGCACTTGCATCAATAATTTAGGTTTTAGATTTTTAAGTTAATAAATACTTCTTCTTGAAATCGGGTTAAGATTATTTTACGTTTAGTGATCACATTTTCTTAAAGTGGGTTATTTGACCACATTATAAAAGTCAATCACTTTATTCAGTACTTGAATTTGATTGTTTGCATTATTTTACGTTAGTTACCACATCTTCTTAAAGTGGATTATTTGACCACATATTCTAAAAGTCGGTCACTTTATTCAGTACTTGAATTTGATTGCACGCATCGTAGAGTCCTAAAGTAAATGTGGATGACTTGATTCCATATTTGAATTGTGTGCAATTTCAGGTTTGGATGCATGTCTTCTTCTAGTTAAAGTAGGACAGTTGATCTAGATTGGAAATACGGATCATGTCCCAACCCTAATGACAAGAACAGGGTGGTCTGTGGATATTGTAAAAATGAGTCATATTTCCAGTATAAATATATTAAAAAACATCTCACTGGCATTAGAAGGGATTTAGCCCTATGCACTTACGTGCCTCATAATGTTAGGAGAGAGATGTTGGGCCATTTGCAAGGGGTCCAAAAGAAGAAATAAGAGGCAAGGAAAGAAATATAATGATATAGTGAGTGTCTATATATATGGAGTACAAGAAGAAAAAGATGTATATGCCAAGAAAGGGGGCTTTAGTATGTAGAGGGTTTGGGCAAAAAAGGCCTCAAGCAAGGGGGCCTATAGGTTCTACTTTCCCCCACCTCATACCAAGGCTGTGGCATGAGAAAAGGGCAAACCACCATATAGAAAGACGCTTTAAGAAGTGTCTCAGTTTGCAGCCCGTTGGTTCTAACAAGTAGGCATTCCATTCAATGCCTGCTAACTTGAACTTCCAAGCTATGTTGGAAGCAATGGGACCTATGACCTCAAGGGACCTATGAGCTCAAGAAAAAAGGTGGAGCTCCACAAGTAACCTTTTGAAGATCCACAAGGATGCATGGGGAATGTATGGGGTCACTATGATGACTGATACACGATGATAAGAGAAATAGAAGAATAATGAACTTGATGCACAGTTTATTTTAAAGTTAGTGGATCAACATATGGAAGAGGTGAAGGAGGTACTCGTGATCCACTAGTCAATAACATGGTTGCAACCAGTATGCTGCAGTTAATAAGTTGAGGGTGAAGTGGCGGTGATTTTTTTGGTCACCTTGTGCAGCACATTGCATACACCTCATAATTGAGGCTACTAGCAAAAGGAAAGTGGTGGAGACAGTATTGAAGAAAGCTAGGCTATCACAATTTATATATAGCTACGCCTAGGTAACTCAATTTTTCATGTGAACATTTAGTAGTCTAATTTGAGTCAAGTTAAAACTTGGCTTTTGTAGTTACTAAAGTTTGTAGTTTTGAGTTACTACACCTTGAGTCAAGTTACTAAAGTTCTAAATTTACTCATGTTACTTGACTTCCATTTATACTGCTGTGAGTTTGTTGCATGTACCCTGTTCGCTAGGTCTTGGCCATGATGAGAAAATTTACCGAAAAGAGCAAGTTGGTGAGGACTAGGATGACTAGATTTGCCACCTCTAATCTCTCACTACAATCCATAGGGGCCCAAAAAGGAAAGCTCAAGGCTATATTTTATGTCCGAAGAATGGGCCCAAAACAAATGGTCCAAGGGGGGCCCATAGGAAAGAAGGGATTAACATTGTTTTGAATAGTCATTTTTAGAATGGGCTTTGCTATGCCGTCGATGTTTTTGACTCATTTGCAAAAGTATTTTGGTCAGTGGATAGTGAGAAGGAAACAGCAATGAGACACACACGAGCGCGTGCATGCACGCAAACACACACAAATATGTGCACGTGTATGCAGATATGCATATATGTGTACGTATGTGTGTGTGTGTAGGGAAATGGAGGTTGCCAAGGACGAGATCAAGATGAACTTTGGCAACAATGAAAGTAAATACCTTTTTTGAAAATTATAGAAGAAAAAAGCAACTCAGAACTGGAGAGGCCTCTACACCTAGCCAGGTATTATCTCAACCTAATCATTTCTATATTAACCATAGGATAGATGCTAAGAGCCAATTCATGGACGAGATTGACTTGTGCAACACGAAACTCAATCATGATCCAAGTGTCCAAGAGCAAGTTTCAATGGATGTGGATAAGCATAGATATTCAGTATAGATATTCAGTAGGGTATGATTTGGCAATAAGACAGAGGACCAAGATCTATCAGTGTACTTTCAAAACTTCTTTACTTTGAATTTGTGATTTGAGTACTTTGTTCTGACTTCTATATTCTAATTTGGCTTCCAAATATACTTATCTACTCCATTTATTTTTACACAATCTAGATTTATGGTGGCAAAATCATTGGGAAGGGGCCATCACTTACAGCATATGGCTAAGCAGATTATGAATATGACTGACAGCTCATTTCGCGGTGAGTACTACAACATGTTCAAGATGATACTTTTTGAACCGATTCATTATCCATCTATACTAGTCTCCTACTAACCATAACTTGCATTATGCTTTTCTAAATTCTAATCATGCATTCGTATATTATCTAATGGTACATAAAAATAAGCGAAACAAGCTCAAACAAAAGAGATGAAATGACCTTGTTTTCGTTCATTATACCCCGATTATGGTGAAAAATGGGGACGATAGCAGAGAGTGGTTGGTCAATGCTGGAGATAAAAAAGCATTCCCTAGAAAGGGCTAGACCCAAAGCCAAGTTTGTGAGGTATTTTGGACCCCTTCTAGCCCTATACAGGCCACTAGATCTCAATCTCGGAGGAAGAGGTAGAGGACACAGAGAGAGGAGAATGAGAAGACGGAGGCTAGCTCAAAGAAGAGCAGGGAGGAAGAGGACTATGTAGAGGAGGGGCTGACTCTGATGATAATGGCTAGGCATCATCACCAAAATCAGAAGCAGCTACTAGTGGTGATGAAGATGTAGTTGGTGGTGATGATCAAACTCCATTTTTTGGAGTAAATATGGTCAAACTCAATTACCACTTTGAGTTCATCAGTTTTTTGAGATGCTTTAAGGTTTGTTTATCAAGTCTTTTGAGTTCTTGTGAGTTGTGACTTTGTTTGCTAGATATGATCTAGATTGTTGTCATGAGCCAAATGGCATTTATGCATGCAGAAGGTTTATGTGAATACTTATTTACTAATACAATTTTGTATGGATTTTGGGCAAATTTCAAGCTTATAAAGTTTTAGGAATTCAATTTCAAGTTTCAAATTCATTTATAAATAATTTTGAAGTGTTACAAACACAACAACACATACAAAAGCCCCTAGAAAAGGTTTTATTCATATGATTGTTTTATAATTCAATTAGGGGGGTTTGGTATCCAATCCAAACCCCTAAAAACACCATAGAGAGCCCTAACCTGTTGCCTCTCTGTTAGGGCTGTCCAGTTGTAGACGCCCCTATCTTGGCTAAGGGACTTCCAAGTGCCTAAACTCTAAACCTTAGGTCCTAAAATTCTCGAAAGCTCCATTCATCTCTTTAAATTCGTGAAATACCTCTAGAATGCCATGTCTTGGAAATCTGCTATTACCAGGGTTAATAGTTATCATTCAAAAGGGCTAAAAGATATATACAGTTAACTATCGACTTTGGCTCAATTATACAGTTAACCACAAAGATTGAAAAGGCAAAAGCAACAAAAATGGAGATTATACACTTAACTCTCACGATTAAAAAGGCAAAAGCAACAAACATGGAGCATTTCTGGAATAAACTCTTGCCAAGGTACTGAAATGACCTCGTCTAAGAGGCATGAGACACACTTGGATGAGTAACCAAGCAACTTGGCTCACTTAAGTGAGTTGGATTTTATTTTATTTTTTCCCCTGATAATTGGCTGGAATCAATTGATTTCTCATTTCAATGATGGCACGAGTCCCATTTCCCAGGTCTACTGTGAAAAGCTCTCCCTGAACCCATTTCTCAAAGGGGTAGACAAGCAAATCCTTATCGTTACCTTAACTTAAGCTAAATATTCTCCAGAATCATGCTACCAAAGGAAGAATCCTATCTATCCCAAACAAATGAAAACTCCGACACTGTAAATTTATACAGGAAGACAGACTTCTGGTATAGTGATGAAGAAGAACATGCTACTTTCTTGATAGAAAAATAAACAGAAAATGGATAAATAAATAAAAGAAAAAGATGGAAAGAAACAAAAAAAGTTGCAGAGTTATTACCACTTCATCTCTCGACCCCATAACAACAAGGGCTGACCTCTTCTTCTTAGACCCAGGACGCCTGATAAGCACATCTTCCACTTTGCCAAAACTCTCAAACACCTCTCTTAGCCTCGTCACTGTGTACCCCTCCCCCAAATCGTTCCATGAAACCTTCAAAATCTTGGTGTTATCCACACCACCACCATCACCAAATTTAGCAGAAGATTTAGATTCTGAATTATCAGGAGTACTAGAATTAGCAGCACCACCAAAATTGGCGGCGTTTTTGGTAGCACGAGTTGCCCTAATCCTGCTTATCTCCTCTTGAAGCCTCTTCTTAGCCCTATCCTCCTCCTCTCTCTCTCTTTGACCCTCCATTTCAGAGGCAAAAGCTTTCTCTCTCTGCGCTAAATCACCCATCATTTTGCGACGCTTCGCAGAGGTTAGGGTTTCTCTCTCTACCCGCTGCTGCTTTAGGGAAAGCAAGTCATCAAAAGCTTTGCGAGCAATGGGATCTAAGAGAATTTCGTAGGCAGATTGAATCTTTAGGAAGTTGGAAGCCGCTAAGGGGTCATTGGGCCGCTTATCGGGGTGAGACGTTAGGGCTTTGGCTCTGTAAGCCTTGCGAATTTCGGCTTCAGATAGCTTGGCGCCTGCTGTGCCCGAGGGCAGGCCCAGCATCAGGTAGTGATCTTCTTCAATTTCCGCCATTGATGACCTCTGCAACTGCTCTCTCTCTCTTCAACTACCTATCTTCTCTCTCGAGGAGAGTGGCGGTGACAACTCTCTTTAGCCCTCCCCTGGCGCAATGAGTAAATGACCGTTTTCTTGTGTGTTTCAACAGGGGAAAAAAATTTGGTGCTTTCTTTGTCCAAGTCCCTTCTCCTTCCTCAGTCCTGCACGTTCACGTAAATATCTCTTATCATTTTGCCCATAATTGGAGAAACTTTATATAAGGTTTCAACCTTAAAAATGTAGAATTCAAGGTGCACCACAACATAAAAGTAAGTTGTTTGGATGTTGGAAGACCCTCTAATTGATCATCTTGACATCGAGATATATGAATATGAAAAGAAAAAATAGATTTTGACTTTTGAAATAGTATCTTGCAATATATTATTTGGACCATTTATTTTTAAGATTTTCATGTGTTTATAGATCTACTTTATTTGAATATTTTTATATTTTAAAATTTTATAATAAAAATGAAAGTAGATTCTTAAACATCCTAAGAATTTTTTATATCAAACTTATTTTTATGATAAAATTTAGAGATGTGTCTTAATTGGATTGTTTAAGGTTGCAACTTTATGCAAACCACACCTTTTAAAAATACATCTAATGTTTTATATTTTATATTTTATATTTTATATTGAGCGCAAGTATTTTGAATAAGATACAATCTTGTAAGTTTAGTAATAACAGGAGTAAAACTAAAAAAATAATCATGATTGATGACCAAGAAGTGCCTAAAGAGAGTATTTTTTATATCTTTGGTCAATAATCCAAGAAAATGGTGAGAATGATGAAAATATTGCACGTAGAATTAAAGCTAAGTAGGCAAAGTGAAGATGTGTAACTCGAGTTTTATGTGATCGTCATATATTAATGAAGCTAAAAAGAAATTTTAGATAACAGCTATGAGACCAGCGTTGCTTTATGGGATAGAATGTTAAGCAGTAAAAAAACTATATACCTATAATATAAGTGTAGCAGATCTGAGAATATTGAGATGGATGAGTGACAAGATAAATAAATATATAAATTAGAATGAATATATTCAATTGAACTTAGGGGTGGCTCCAATGTGCAGCGGGAAAGTAGACTTAGATGGACAAGCAATGTATATTGCATACCCAATACATTATAGATCAGGAAGTGCAATGTGGTTCAAGTAGAATGCTTTAAAAAGGTAAAGGGAAGAAAATGACATCGATAAAAAAAAAAAGGAAAAAAGATATGGAGTTCATGGTCTTACTGATCGTATGACCATTGATAAAGCAAAATAGCATAACATAATTCGTGTAGTCAACTCCAAATAGTTTGGATAAAACTCTAATGATACTACAAGACCGTTTACCTTAATACAAAGAGATCACAAATACCTCTAGCGGTCTAGCCATCCAATTTGTATAGTCAACTCCAAATAAAGGGATTTGTGAAGCAAAATACCATGCAAATACTAGCCACCCAATGGGCAAATAAGAGTATCCCCGGGTTGTGTATATAGATATTGAGGCTAAGTGAATTGACGTGTATATGGCCAATCACGCCATTGGTACAATTTTATGTCCCAATTTCCCTGTGTCACCAGGGAACAACCTCTGCCATGTCCATACATGCTTGTGCACATGTATACGTGTATAACATTCAGGCCCATCCATGGACAGAATATGCAGAGTTGCACGAAAGACATATACCAAGTTCCCACCTATTTTATGGGGAAATTGTGTCCATGTAATGTAATGTGTTTCTTAAATAGACAGCACATCCACCATCCATCCTGCAAAGAGACGTTGGATACTAAACCGTGGGCGTACTCCAGTTCAGTGGCTGACCTGATCACTGCAAAACCACCGACGTGGCATTTTCGAAAACACAAGTACAAATTTGGCAAAGAACTTTATATGAAGGTAAAAACTCGGGCACAAGTAGGTTTTTCACTTATAAAACTCACTGCTTAACCAATCTCCCAATTTAAAAAGAGTCGGCCAATAGCATATTGCAGCAGGCAAGAGCCGGAGGCCGAGCCCATATACCCGATATGACAATGGATTGTTTACTTGGTTAAGGCTCTGTGAGCAGGATAGGTTATGGTGAGGTAATCAGTTAGGCCATGGATGGAAAAGGATCAGGAGATAATGCATTTTTATTCAAGTGTGATCACAGGATGATAATCTGAATCATGACCATCATGAATCTAGAATGAAAATCAAGATTATCTAGAAAGAAAAGAGTTTAAATCCCAAGTTCCCACCTATTGTATGGGGAAATTGTGTGCATGTAATTTGTCTCTTAAACAGGCAACACATCCACCATCCATCTTGCAAAGAGACATTGGATACTAAACTGTGGACGCACTCCGGTTCAGTGGCTGACTTGGTCACTGCAAAGCGACGTTGGATACTAAACCGTGGACGCACTCCGGTTCAGTGGCTGACTTGGTCACTGCAAAACCACCGACATGCCAGTTAGATGGCCATTTCTGAAAAACACGAATACAAATTTGGCAAGGAACTTTATATGAAGGTAAAAACTCGAGCACAAGTGGATTTTTCACTTATAAAACTCGCTACTTAACCAGTCAAGCAAAGAAATTTGTATAAAGAGATCGGGATCTCCTAATGTAAAAGGGGCAGGCCAATAGGATATTGCAGCAGGCAAGAGCCGGACCCCATGTACCCAACATGACAATGGATTGTTTACTTGGTTAATGCTCTGTTTGGGAGCATGATAGGTTATGGTGAAGTAATCAGTTATGCCATGGATGGAAAAGGATCAGAAGGTAATGCATTTTTATTCAAGTGTTGTCACAGGATGATAATCTGAATCATGACCATCATGAATCTAGAAAGAAAATCAAGATTATCTAGAAAGAAAAGAGTTTAAAATTTACATCATGGAAATAAGTTAATCTAAAAGAGGTCTTAAAATGTTCTAAAAATAAAGAGTAAAACCATATGTATTCAAAACTTCTATCCTTTTCAAAATCATGATTGTAGTAGTTGAGATTATAAGAGTAATTTTAAATTTAGGTCCAATATTTATTTTGGAAGGAGCTCGTACTTGTAATCTCCATTGGTCTACCTAAAAGAAAAAAAATAACATTGGAGACCGCAATGAGAGCATTTACCTTTGATATAAGTAGGTCACAATTACATTAAACCATGTGATGTGAAATTTGATAGTTTGGGTGTGTCACAAAGTTTGAGAGAATTTCTTTCAAATTTTAAGCTTGTTCAATGAAATAAATGCAGCTATCGAATTTCATATTCAATAGTCAAGATCAATTGTGACCACCTTGTACCAAAGATAAAGAGTCTTGTGGTATACTTTTTCAAGATCAAAATACAAGAGCCCATGACCAATCCAATCATTTTTAAAATCTTTGTAGCAAAGCCCAAATTTTTGAGAGGGAGGTCCACCTGACCTCCAGTTAAAGGTCGCGGCCTCGATTCTCACTAACTCTTTTAAAAAATTGACTCTTTTCCAAATGGTAACGGCCTTAATCATCACCGATCTACCTCAACAAAAGTAATAATAATAATAATAATAATAATATTAATATTTATTGGAGACTTCAAAGATCAAACTACATGAGCCCACTTCCACTTTACGAAGTCCAAATTTTAGGGAGGTAGGTCCACCTGATCCAGTTAAAGGCCACAGCCTCCACTCTTACTAATCCTTTCAAAAAAATGGACTCTTTTCAAAATGGTAAGGTAAGGGCGTGTAATCCCCACGGATCTACCTCCAAATAATAATAATATTAGTTATTGGAGATTTCAATGATCAAAATAGAAGAGCTGTCCACTTTACACAAAGAGTTTTGGAAAGGAGGTCCACCTTTTTGGTGTATCAAAATTAAAAAAACGCCGTTGCCGGGGATCGAACCCGGGTCACCCGCGTGACAGGCGGGAATACTCACCACTATACTACAACGACTCTCTTGTTATTTGTGAAAACTTAAGTCTACAAATTAATAAAACAGGGCGGCATAAGGTTGCAACCTTAACGTTAAACAATCCAATTAAGGCGCACATTAAAATTTTGTTGTAAAAAATTCTTAGTATTATCTTAAAATCTATTTTCATACCTAATTAGAAATTTTTAATTTTTAAAAATAGTTAAAATTAAGTAAATCTATAAATATATGAAAATCTTGAAAATGGACGGTCTAGATAATGTGTTGCAAGATGCACTATTTCGGGACTCAAAAACCTTTTTTTTCATATTCATACATCTCGATGTCGAGATGATAGATTAGAGTATTTTTTCAACATTAAAACAACATTTCTGATAGATTTTTTGCATCTATGATTCTACATTTTAAGATTGCAACCTTATATAAATTTTTCCCTTAATAAAATAAGAAGGGAAAAGTTTATATACAGTTGCAGCTCTAAACAATCAAATTCGAGCCTACCTCATAAATTTCACTAGCCGAGGTTGTTTTGATGCCCAAATATCATCAAATTGATCATCTCGACATCAAGATGCATAGACATGAGAAAAAAATAGATTTCCAGTTTTGAAAATAGTGTATTTTGTATCGTATTTTTGGACCGTCAATTTTCAAGATTTTCAAGTTTTCATATATTTCTCGATCTACACTATTTTTTAATCCTTAAACTTTATAAATCAAGATGTAAATATATTTTAAAGCTATCAAAAAGATTTCCAATACTAAAACCACATTTCTCGACACTATTTGAAGGTAGGCTCCAATTTGATTATTTATAGCCTAGGCTCTATACAATCCGCACCCAAATAAGAAGGGAAGCCCATGAGAGAATTGAAACCAAGTTCATGGAACATCATTTACTATGGCCTTAAAAAACGAAGACTATGAAAAAATTGATGCTAGAAACACATGAATGCCATTTGGTACAAGCATATTCCAACATCATTTCTTGGACATGCACATTATTTTACCTTCAAAAGCAATCTTTGGTTATTATATCAATCACATTAATGCCCATTAAAAGCAAATAAGATGATATTATATAAAAGAAAATGGTTTCATGCGGGTTGGACTGTATTTCTACATATGCGGTCTAGAAGTATAAAACATCCATCTTGAAGATGGATGCAAATATGTGGTCCATCTAAAGACAATTGAAACTAACGGTCCAAATATTTTCTTAATAGAGTTATTATTTTTAATTTCTAAAATTTATTTATTTATTCATATTCATGATCTCCATGTTAGAGATTACATATCTTTAAAAATAAAGTCCAAAAATCCATCTCAAAAATATATTTATTAAGGGGCCTGCATTTCTACATGTTCGGGCTTGGCCCATATGCTAACCACGTCCTTATATAAACTATGCATAATATAACATTTGCGATTATAAGAGATGAAACAAGCTATGCTTATCCTTACATTTTTAGGATGTTGGTTATGGTGTTTAAATCTATCACTTGGACTGGCAGGAGCTGCTCCCATGTTTGTTTAAGAAGTTGTAACAATCAAGTCTCTTTCTAGATATAATATGACTAATGATAGTTAGGGATGAACACCCCCTTGTTTGCTCTTCACTTTCACCTATGATCATAAATTCCAAAATTGGAAGCTCTCCTGATGTATCTCCAAGGCAAGTCTTGTTCTCTTCCTTCTTCCTTTAACACACTTCTTGCTTTAACACAAAAAACGCATAGTTGTATATAGCCCTTCTAGAGATGGCTGGGTCCTAGATTCTTTGAGTAAGAGATAATGAAAATGCCTTGAATGGGGGAGTGAGAAGGCATCCCTTTTGTTTGCTAGTTTCTGGTGAGTTAAATCCCAATCTCAGCACCTGAATCTGAGAAGAATGGGGATCAAAATATTCGAGCCTGTTAATGGGGATCGAAATATTGCATGGTGTCTCAAAATGCATGTATGTTTTTCTGGTTTTGAAAATCTAAGAAAATGTCAGTTCTAAACCTATACACCTTTTTCTCGCACTCTATACATCATGGAAACTGACTTGAAACACATCTAGTAGCCAACAAATGGGTAGCATATGCTTGAGGCGAATGCTTATTTACTGTTGAAGTTTGGATACTTTTTGTAATCAAGGATTTTATCATGCTGGCTCGTTCATGTGGTTCCTTGTTTTTTTTTTTTTTTTTGAAAATGACTAAAGAATTTCCATTAAAAGAAAACAAATTACAAAATACATACAAAGTCATTGGAAGGAAGTAATCACCAACGAAAATTGGTGAACTCCTTTTGCTTCGGCATTAGCCTCCTGATAGCAATAGCGGATTTCAACAACTATAGTTTTAAGAATATCCCATATCATGAAAAATTATAGTCAATCTCCATGAAACATTAGCTTCGCCTTTACTCCAAGCTATCTTTCATGTGGTTAATAAATGTTTCATATCACCGCTCGTGACTTTAAACAAATAAAGAACACATGATCCACATGAATATTGTAATAACATGGATATCCCATATCATGAAAAATTATAGTCAATCTCCATGAAACATTAGCTTCGCCTTTACTCCAAGCTATCTTTCATGTGGTTAATAATGTTTCTATATCACCGCTCGTGACTTTAAACAAATAAAGAACAGCATGATCCACATGAATATTGTAATAACATGGATATCCCATATCATGAAAAATTATAGTCAATCTCCATGAAACATTAGCTTCGCCTTTACTCCAAGCTATCTTTCATGTGGTTAATAAATGTTTCATATCACCGCTCGTGACTTTAAACAAATAAAGAACAGCATGATCCACATGAATATTGTAATAACATGGATATCCCATATCATGAAAAATTATAGTCAATCTCCATGAAACATTAGCTTCGCCTTTACTCCAAGCTATCTTTCATGTGGTTAATAAATGTTTCATATCACCGCTCGTGACTTTAAACAAATAAAGAACAGCATGATCCACATGAATATTGTAATAACATGGTCATCTTAGTGGTCCTGATCATCCCATCAATTATAGAATTTCATTTTATTTTTCACTTTTTTCGTGCTATCATTTTACTTTTCTATGGGTTCCTTCTTTATTTATTTATTTATTTCAACTATGTAATCCTTCTTTTCTTTTCTTTTTTATCAATGATTCAAAACACCATAGGCTTCCTACAGCATATAAACAGTAAGCTTAACGTTTGTCTATTTTCGGCAGATGAAACCATTGTAAACATGTTATATCTATGTAAGCGAATTCAAACCAACAACCCTTCAATTCAAGAGCCGTCATCCATGCCCCAAAAGATTATTCATCCCATAAAAGTGACAACTATAAACCAAGTTGAAAAGGTAATTTATTTGCCCCCTCTGCTCTTGCATCCCTCTTGGAACAAATCCTTATCAGAATTCAGAACGCCAGTCTAAGTCTCCAAATCAACAGTTCGGATTTTCCCCAAGGCAATTCCATGCCTCGAATTCGGACCCTACAATGCAACGAGCCATGTCTCACGTCACACCCACAACATCCATTCTAGCAACCGAAATTCCTTGTCCATTCCAAGCAGCCAACGCCCATGTCCTATACATTGCAACAGGCCTCGCGATCATCTATAACAGGCGCCTGTCTCCAATCATGCCCAACATTTAACACAAACCAGGAACCCGCTATACATAACCCTCACCAATAATCGCCACACGAGCACGCCCCACCTTTGAAGTGGTGGAAGCGGTTCGAGTCTCTAACCACAATCTCGCGCCCCACTAGCTTGGATATCATCTTTGTCACACTATGACAATCAACACATACCCTAAGGTTCTTGGTGACCCTTATTGTCGAGCCAGGGCTCGCGTAGATAAGGCCAAAGGCAATTGCCAGTCTCTCACTATGCCTAGCCACCATCTCCCCCTTCTCCTCCTCACCCACATCATGCAATACTGAGTTCACGTCTGGCTCATAACCCATGCCCCTAAGCTCCCCCTCTAACCATGTCAACTTCTCGTAAATTTTGTTAGAGAAAGGGTGGGACTCATCTCTGGCTCCAAATGTATGGACCCTATGTCTAACTTCGATCGAGCTGGACCCTAGAGGCTTCCTAACTCCTCTCTCTTTCATCAAAGTCCTCACTCTAGCTACCTCATCCCACATCCCCGAAGCGGCATATATATTTGCTACGAGGACATATCGGCCTGCATTCAACGGGTCAAGCATCAAAACACGCTCTGCCGCTATCTCTGCAAGGCTTACGTCCTTGTGTATACGACAAGCACCAAGCAATGAGCCCCAAACATCGGCCCCCGGTTCAAAGGGCATGCTATTGATGATACTCATGGCCTCATCGAACAAGCCAGCACGCCCCAATGCATCGACCATGCACGCATAGTGCTCCCCCGATGGCTCGAGCGAGTGGTCATCGCGCATGGCCCGAAACCACTGTCGAGCGTCGTCGACCAAGCCCGCATGCGCACAGGCCGACAAAACATAAACAAAAGTAATAGCGTCGGGGCTAATGTTGGCCTTAAGCATGAGAGAGAATGTCCCTAATGCATCAGACGCAAGCCCATACACACCGTAACCTCCTATTAATGCGTTCCAAGAAAACACATTTCTTTGAGCCATGCGATCAAACACTAATCGAGCAACACTTAATCTACCGCATTTGGCATACATGTTTACCAGTGCAGTGCCTAAGACCACATCAACCACGAAGCCATTCTTTATTGCGTAGCAATGAGCCCACCTTCCGTGACCTAAGGCTGATAATTGGCTCAACGAAGGGAGAATGGCCACTAAGGTTACCCCATCAAGTCCCTCTCTAAATCCAAGTAACATGCCATGAAAGAGCTCCAATGCCTCTTTCGGGTGGTCATTTTGGCAATACCCTGCAATCATGGAGTTCCAACTAATAACATCTCTTTCAGGCATTTCATCAAAGACTTGACGAGCATTTGTCAGGTCTCCACACCTTGCGTACATGGCTATAAGCCCATTGCATACATATGTATGACCATTCATGCCAGCCATCATAGAATCTCTGTGAATTTCCTTGCCTTTCTCCAAGTCTCCCATGGCTGAGCAGGCCTTGAGCACAAATGGGAAACTGAAATGGTTTGGCTTCAACCCTTGCATTTGCATTTCATCATAGGCTCTAATGGCTTCCATATATGAACCATGGGTTGTATAGCCTCGTATCAATACGTTATACAACTGAGAATCTCTCTCTGTCGTATTATTGAAAACCTTGCGCCCGTCTTCCATGGAGCCACTGAAATCTCTGTATATTTCGATCAATTTGGCTGCGAGATACATGTTGCTCTGATAACCAGCTGTAACAACTTGGGCATGGACCGCTTTGAGGCTTTCTATGTCTCTGCAACTCTGCAACAACTGAGAGTATTCATAAGAGTCAAGGAAGGAGGATCCATTTCCCCTGTCAGGAAAATAGCCGAAAGCTCTTCCTCTAACAAACCCGTGTTTAATTGGGAGCCGGATTGAAACCCCAAAGGCCATCAGGAGAGAGAGATGGACCTATTCAGTGTGTGTCAGAGAGAGAGAGGGGTCTTTTTTCTCTCTGATGATGGGAATATATGCATTATAACATCGCGAAGGGTGGCAAAGCGAGTGCGCGATTCCCTGCAATTCAATAGATGAAATCCAAAACACCACCACCAACTAATGTCACACAAATCATCTTTCCGAGGACAATAATGGCATTGAACCAGAGGTTATCATTACTAACGCTTGAGTTATAAGATATCTCTACCATCAATGAACAAGGAAAGGACAGGACATCAAAGGAGAAGAAATAAGAAGTATTTTGTGGTCAACTTCATTTATATTTAACCGATAATTTTTACAACATTAGTATAGAATGCAAGTATCAATTGCTCACAACTCTAATTCCAGAAACATGAGGTGCATCAAATCCTGATCTAGGAAATGAGAGCTGCATAAAACTGTCACATTAGGAGACAAAAAGAAACTATCCACAGTGCTAGTTACCACATGTATTATAGCATTTCATGTTGATTTTTGTTTCTTATATCTGAAAAAGTTTACCAAAGAGAGAATTCTTGTTCCAAGTAGATAAATCCACTTAAAAGACACCTTGATGGAAGAACTGGAAAAGAGAAAGATCATGGCTGTAGATTTGAATCGCCATTCATATCAAAAGAAAAAGAAAAGAAAAGAAGAATTAGAATCACCCTCAATCTTGCCATGTATTGGTTTTCTTCTCTATCCTTTTTATACGATATTTTTAAATAAAGAAAATGCTCTTCATTTTTCATAAGAGAGGAAGTACAATGTACAAACTCTGAACTAGGATCACCCATACTGGATTCCATTCCTTTGGACCAAAGGGCACATAACTGTACAGGTATTCCACTACAAATGCATAACAGCGCAATGTGATCCATATATTCAGTTTTGTCTTTTTTTATTGAATCCATACAAATGTATCAGCATTACCATGACCCTTATAGACCTGTAGTCCTTCCTTGTTGTCCATTGATGATGAATATGCATAGCCTGGTTCACCCAAGTTCTTTTGGGAAGGCCAGTCCAGTTATATTGACATGGCCATCTCCAATGAGATGAGGTGGACAGAAGGGAGTCAGTGGGGTGGCCATTATCAGAAGATCCATCCCATTTACACTTTCTGATATCATAGAGTCGAGCATATTCATTTAGCCACCGATGGCTATGAGATTAGGGTTCTGTGGGTCTATGGTGATTGCATTTAGGTGAACAATATGAGAGTCATGGAAGGAGGTGCAAGTGAAGAGATTTGTGGGTGTGCGCGGCATATAAGCACGCCCACCATGTCTGGCAAGCTTCACAGTATCAACTTGACCTCCTTCTAAGATCTTAGCATATCTCACCTGGTGTAAATGATATAACATAGAACCTTAGATAAGGCTTCCAGAATCAGAGCCCAAATAACACACTGTAGGTTAAATAAGACATAATTTTTTGCAAATTTTGGCCAAAACTTGTGCTCAACCCTTGCCCAATACTGAAATAACTGCAAAAGATGATATCCATATAACAGTCATCATCCTCCTGAACCGGAAATAACAATTCCTTTTTTAAAAAAATAAGTTTCTGCATGCTATACATAAAGCTGGCAACCCAATTTCCAATGTTCATTCACTTTATGATATAGAATACAGAATGTGGCCCTTTTAAGAACTTTCATATCAAAACTGTCCCAAGTCAAATTGAACAAGTACGGAATCTTTGTGAGAAAATTACGAAAAAAAAAAAGCAGCAAAATTACACTTCTATGCAACTTACACCAATCTTTAACTTTTTTTTCTCACTTTTTTTTCCAAAATACATTTTTTTATACAAATACCCCCAACCAAATAAAAAAATAAAATCCTAAACTACTTTCTCTTACTTTTATCTTACCTATGCCTCTCTCTCCTCTATCCCGCCAAAATAGGAACATTATGTAAAGGGTGGTTCGACAGTAAATGTTATTAGATTCTAGGACTCCAACACTATGTAAAAGGCGGTCCGACAATATTTAGTTTCGATCCGGTAGTTGTCTTAAGGCAGTCCGACAATACTTAGTTTCGGTCCGGTAGTTGTCTTAAGGCAGTCCGACACTTAAAGTTTATGTAACGGCAGTCTGGCAATGCGATGGTGTAAGAGAAGGACATTTCCAAAAGTCAACGTCAAAGCTAGCCAAAATGATTTTTGTGTACGAGAAAGGCATTTTCATCTAAAAAAAATGAACTTTTTTACTCGGAGGGTATCTCTATAGAAAGTTTGTTTTGGCGGAAAAAGTGTAAGAAAAAGTTGGATTGGGGGGTAAGGTGCATAGAAAGTGTGGCCTTGGGGTTTTTATAAAATCTTTTACATGTAGAAGTTGTAAATGAGGTTGAAAAGCACAATTCAAAAAACAAAATTAGTAAAAGAGGTCACAATCACTCTTGTCAGTTAGATTTTAAATCGGGTGGTTGTAAGTGTATAATTGACTAGATTCAATTTTTTTTTTTTTTAAATTAAAAAAAAAAAAAAAAAAACAAAACTTTGTGAAACACCCCTAACTGTCTAATTTGACATCTAATGTCTAAGAGTGATCGTGACATTCTTGTAACAATATAAATGGTCTCATAGTATATAATTTAAAACAATTTGCAATCAGGTAAATGGCCCCAAAACAATCTATAATCCAAAGCAGCTCCTCTGTTCACCAAATCATTTGCGAACTCATTTGCTTCTTTGTATACATGATGAAAGTTTACTGACTGAGATGATGTTAATTCCATAACCTACAACCACAATGATCTAAAATGTCAAGATGGTCTCGACATCTTAGTGCACCATTAATAACATTAAGAAAATCACCTTCAATCACCAACATCTCACAATGCATCTTTCTTTCTAAATTACTTGCACAAGAGTAGCAATTTCTGCATGATTTGTAGACGCAATACCCCACAAGGCAGCATAACATAAGATAATCAACCCCCCATTATATATACAAACTCCGCTTACCCCTGCCAAACTTGACTTGCCTAGAGTGTATCCATTAAAATTTAATTTGAAGCATCATATTCTAGGTGGCTGCCATGTCTAACCTGTATGAAACAAAGTGAGATCAGATTTGCCAAATTGATAACAATGTCAAGTTTTGATGTCACATTAATTTCTTTAGTGACACTAAAACATCTATGTATGCAAAATCCTAAATTTAATCCCTTGTTTCAACTATACTCCATCAAAAGTCATTCTATTCCTTTCCAACCAAAACTCCCAAATTATAGCACCCCTGAAAATGTCCCAAATCATCACATCAACTTTGGAAAAACCACAAAGCTCGAGATAATTTATAATATTCTTCGAAGAGTATGGACTCATCAACATAACACCAACGTTTTGCATTGCTCAATACCAGATGAGCATCAGATAAACTTGTTGATTACCTAGACGAATACCCTTTTAAATTAGCTAGATAACATTGTAAAAAAGTATGCAATGATATCATTTACTTTTTGTACAAGAAAGTCACAAGCAAAAGCGATAGCTGGACTGTTAGACATGAATCTGGCTCACGCAAAAGGTGTGATTGACAAGGGTCCAAGTCCCAAATAAAAGTTTGTGAATTTTTTAATATTTCATATCTCATTATAAAAAGTTTATATAGAATCGAGGCTCTAAACAATCAAATTAGAGCCTATCACAATAATTTCACTAGAAATAGTTGTTTTGATGCCCAAATATCACAAATTGATCATCTCGACATTAACATGTATGGACATGAAAAAAAAATAGATTTCAAGTTTTGGAAAAACGCATTGTTTGACCATCAATTTAAAAGTTTTCATAGACTTGCTCGATATACACTATCTTTAAAGCTTTAAAATTTATAATTAAATACAAAAATATATTTTAAAGCTATCATAAAGATATTCAGTATTGAAACCACATTTCTTGAAAGTATTTGAAGGTGGGTTTTACTTTAATTGTTTGGAACCTCCGCTCTATACAAACCACACCCTAATAAAAAGATAAAAAGTGTAATATGACTCCCAATGATCCTAGTAAGATGAGTACTGTACAGTGTACTCTCAAAGGCCTTCATAACTCCCCTTGCGAACATTGGGATGGTTTATACCAGTGTTTAAAAAAACGCCGAGTCGAACCGGGTCGCCTGGTTCGACTCGAGAATCGCCATGGAGGGATCGAATCAGTGAAAAAAACGGGAATCGTTCGGTTTTAGAGAGAACCGGACGATTCTGCACAGTGACTCGCCGATTCACTATACGGAATCGGTGAGTCCTGTACAGTGAATCGGCGAGTCCCGTACGGAAGAATAGTTAATTTTTTTTTTTTTTTTTTTTTTTTTTTTTTTTTTTTTTTTTTTTTTGTTTTA